CTCATTGCAAAGCTAAAAGAATAGATTACAGGACATTCATTAGGATGAGAATAAGTGTTAACTACAGTTAACGTTCTAATGTTTTTATAGGAACTTTTCCATATGCAGAAGAGTAAGACAGACATTGGAAAAGAGCTGCTAGATAACCTCTTTGTTGCTTATGGAAGCTGTCATGATTCAAGCACAAATCAAGAACTAACTTTCTAGAGGTGTATGAACAGGGGGAAAGAAACAGCTCAAATAACTGATGCCTATGAGCAGGAATATGTTTGTGATTGCTCAAGGCTTATCTACCACTCTGAGAAGCATTAGGTGAACAGAGTGCTAGGAGCAATGACGAAGAGTAATGAGAACATGGTAATTTAGAACAAGTAAAGAATAATTATCCCTATATCAACAATTTGAGTTTGTACTAGTTTACATCCAGGCATGAAAACTGGATGCCATTCCCTCTTCTGGAGAAGGATGCTTGCAAAACTTAGTTCTCCTTGCTTGCTGAAGAATGAGCTTTACTGCAATGAAAGCAAAGCTGTAAGACTGCAGAATAAAGATGACTTTTCACCTGTCCATTTCTATGGGCTAGTATTGTTCTCCTATTTTAGTAAGTTGGGAAAAGAATGAAGGTGTGCAGCAACCTATTAGTGGTGACAGGGCACAACTGCAGCAACCCATGAAACATCCAGCCATCCTTCATATCCCTCAAAAGAGAAAGGGCATGTAAAAGAGGCAACATGCTCTATTAATCCCTACTGTGCATATTATCATTAACGCATGCACCAGACTGTGCATAAGGCACCTGGGGTGCCTTATTTAATTTTCTTTACTTTCACTTTGTATTTCTATTTATCTTTATCATGCTGTTAAAATAAACAAGCAATATGCAAATTTTCTGGAACAGAAGAGACAAACCATGTTTAAGATATGTAAAGATTAATATTCAACTAGACAGAAGGACTAAACAATAGGACAAGTAGTACAGCTCGGCACCATAAAAGCAGCTACCTGTAAAATAACTGAAATTAATGACAACAAACCCAGTAAGTTAAAAAGAACTGCTGAAGAGCACAAAAACCTGAACCTTCCTGGTTCAAAGAAAGTTTCTACATACTGCAGAAGCTCTGCAAGCTGCAGAGCAATGCCATGGTGCCCGGCAGCATCTTTTCAGCAGCTCATAAACTAGTGCAGCATATGGTGTGGTGAGGCAACCCAAGCATGAGCTGTTTTTAGGACCCTGCTAGCCCTACATGTGCACCTAGATAACAAACGAACTCAACAGATGAGGGTGCCCTGAAAACACTATCAAGGTCCTGGAGGCACAGCACTGATCCTCAGAGCACTGGGGATGGAACAGACTGAAAACATTGCCAACATGCACTGCACTCAGGCTGCATCCGAATGGAAAAGGGCACCAATATCTAAAGCAGACCAAAGCACTGTAAAGTCTTTCAACTTTGGCTTCCCATCAAGCCACTTGAAGTCATGAAGGCTGCAAACAAGACCAGCATGGGGAGACTTCCCCCAGTTGCTTATCATAAGATAGCAAAGCCATCACATACCCTGGGAGAGCTGTTCTGCGCCTTGTATACTTACCAGTATATAAATTTATCATTGCATGGTAAGAGCAATTATGAATGTTATGCCCAGCACTCTCCATAGGAGATTATTGAATATTCTTCTGTTTGGTTCTGGTAGAGTGTGTGACTATATGGCTTTCCAATGAGTCTGTTAACCTGCTTGCCTGAAAAGTCAGAACTGGAAGATGGGAAGTTGAGAAGAGCTATGAGATCATACTCTAGGAAACCAAACCAAACCAAACCAAACCAAAATGGCCAGAAGCCAGATGGCTTCAGGGAACAGTGAGAGCAGAAGACTCACAGATGACTCTTACCTCCTAACACTCTCCCACAACCTCCAACTGATTTCAGCTCCTGAACCTGTTCTAATTTGCCAGTCTAGTAACTACTGACTCTCGCTTGCAGGTAGCTGTCCACTATTTGAACCTGGGTAAGTCTCTTCTCTTCACAATGTCCCTCAGCAGAATCTCACAGGCCTTCTATACATTGCACAAAGAACCGCAAATTTGTCTTTGTTTTGAACCTTGGCCTCATGAAATTCAACTGTTGCCTCCTACCTCTGGCATCAGAAAAAGCAACAAATGCCTACTAACTCTTATCTATGACATCCACGATTTTGCAGAACTTTCTTATCAACCTCCACGTCATCTCTCCTCTGAACTTCAAATGCATAGAAGCCATTTCATACTTCTGCTCATCCTTGATTGCAAACTCTCAATGTCCTCTAGTTCTCATCCCCGCACCTCAAACAGGATGTATCGCAACTGTACAGTCTTCAGTACGCATGCAAATACTGGATTTATACTGTGATAGCATAATGGTCTTCTCTGCTTTATTTTCTGTACCCTTCCTAATAACTCCTGATGTTTCCTTTACCTTTTTGGCTCCTGCTGAGCACTAAGATCGCTTAATGGAGCTATTTATTGTAATCCTCAGATCTCAGTCCTGAGTAATAATGTCCAGCACAGAGTCCATCCTTTCAGGTGTAGAGCTGTTTTCCCTCATGTGCATCACTTAGTATTTATCAACACTGAATTTCACCTGCCATTCTATTTATGTTCCACGTAGGAGTATATTAAATGGCACACATCACAACATCTGTGCCAGTGAGGACAAGGACCAGCTGAAAAAAGAAAAGAAGCCATAAATCTCACTACCCACACCTGATTCACTGAGGGTCCCTCCTATGCAATGAATGAGACAGGAGCCCACTGGGAAAAAAATAGTGTTATTTTAAAAAACCACATAATTAAAATAACACATACATGGTAAAGAAATAAAATTATTTGAATTACCCAAATTTGAACTGCAACTCTGCAACTCCACCTCTACCATGATTAATTGCATCAAGTTACAAAACAGGTGATTCAGCAGCTTAAGCTGTGGTTTGTAGACTTGAATTTTCATATTGATTACAGGTGGACAACCTTGCTCCAGCTCAGCCTCCTGAGACTGTTCAGCACACACTTTTCTTGCCATATTTTCTGCAGATCCTTCTTATTGTTTTTTACATCACCCGGGAGAATGAACCTTTATGCAGAACTAGCTCAAACAGCATCACAAAAAAGTACTTAAGAATATTAGGGTGGGGATTTTTTTTCCTTTTTCAACATCCCCATGCTTTGATATTCCTTCAATTGATCACATACTTGTAGATTTTATTTTCTCCCATATTTCAATACTACAAATATTGAAAAACTGTGCTTTTAACAATACAAAACCAGTAATTTTTAACTGAATTGGTCCTAGTGGGAAAAAAAAGTATTTTTTACTCTTACTGCGTTTTTGAAGAATTTGTAAACATACTGGAATTAATTAACACGGTAAAATGTGTCACTGATTCCTTGTTAGTGTCTGATGACAAAGGCAGAGGATATTCACCATTTCAAAAAAATTTACTAAACACATGTTTTGACAGATTCATAAAGTTCCTAGAATTGAACATTACTCTCCTGTTATCATCTTAAGATCACAGGAAGTACACAAGAGTAACAGAAGCACTGATGTTTATCCAGAAATTATTTTGTCATGATGCCTACCCACTCGTCAAGAGAATAACCACAGCTTTAGAAACAGTGGTCACAAAAACCACTGAAATCACTGGTGACAATTTACTGACTTGCATAGAAATTCATGAGTGATTTTGAGACTAGCACCTTCAAAGCTGTTTCTTGACATTCCAACAGTTATGATGGAAAATAGGCAGCTATTAATTTACAGTTGGAGTATCCTTCATCATACATAATCAAAATGAACTGTGGGTTTGACTGTGTCAAGGCAATGTGAAGGTGATTTTGTGGACTTAAAAAAAGTTTATTTGTAATACAACCTATGACAGGACTCAGTTAGTGGAAGATACTAATTTGTCAAAGGGTACACAGCATGACAGCAAGTGAATTCAAAAATCAAGTATTTTAAGTTGCACTAAATACCTCTAGTCAGTCGACAACATAACTGATCTCCAAGGAATACACAGTACACACTTGCAATAACTTAGTTAAGTACAACTGCTCTTATGTATACCAATCTTGGACATAAAAAAGCTCATTTTCAAAATACAATCTTAAATTGTAAGTGAATACAAAAAAATAAAAGCAAGAAAGATATAATCTACGTGTTCAGCAGATTACTTATTAATCTTTCAGTATAGGCTGGACTAGAAATATGAAGGACAGAATACAAGAATTCAACTAACAGATGATGAACTGAAAATGTGTATTGATAAACATAATTCTAAGTCAGCAAGAAAAGCTATAATTGGTTAATAATATGATAGTTCAAAATTTCACGGACTAGTCTGGCAATCTCCTTAGGGTCCACAAAACAAAGGCACAAAGCTCACATGAGTTTCTTGAAGGTATGTGGTATAGTATGCAGTCCTCGTTTGTTACGTTTCATGTTTTGTTCTAAAAAGTATTTCTGAATACATTCTCATCCTTTCCTTCTTTCAGCTAGATATGGTGATGGTTGCTGGCAACTCCCCAGGACAGAGTGGCATATCAACAGCCTAAAAGATGATTTTACTCTTTGGTGACATGAATTGCTTCATCAGCCAAAATCTCCAGACTGCCACAGCAGGAAATGCCACAGGGTGGATGTACCTGAACAGTCTGTCTTAAGCTGTTTCAGTCATTCTTATGGATCAATTCCACTTTCAATTAAATTAATTCCATTACAAACGTTTTCATAATGGCCACATAACTGGAAGCCAGGGCTCCAATTATCTGTGAATGCTGTACTGCAATGTGCGCACAAAGGGAAGGATTCCAGACTCAAAACACCAGCAGATTCAAGTGGCTATCAAATCAAACCAAACAAATCAGTGGCTATTTAGGATTCAGATAACTATGTTCTTAAGAAATATTTACTTTTTGAGACCTCAGTATCTTATTGTGAACTGTCTTTTGTACAGCACAGTTCTCTCACCTGGTGGACTCCCATGCCCTGCTGCAGCTGTAGCAATAGCAAAAGCAGAAGCAGGAGAAACTGAACAGTGGCTATTGTCAGCAGTTTGTACTGCAAAGGGAACAGAGAAAAGTTAATAACTTCTACATACTTTTCATATTTTTCAACAGCAATATGTAATTAATACTAACTTAATAATAAATTAATATTTACTTAATAATAAATTAATAATTAAGCAACAGCAATACTTAAAATTTTCATTAGTATTTAAACTTTGTGAACATTTTAAGTTTTCATTGCCAGACCACTTTATGTTAATGAAAATAAAAATGTCATAATCATACTTGTGATTTAAGTTTTATTTCCAAGTCGTTATAATTAATGTTGCTATGGAAAACAAAGTCTAAGACACTGTCAAAGTGAGGAACAACCAGTAACCAAAGGGAAAAAGAAAAAAATTACAAAAACAAAGGTGTAGAAAATTAACTTAAACAAAAAATCATGTTAGAGAACTAAGTATAATAACCAACTTCTGATAACTAGATTCATATATTTTCCCAGGTCTCTGCCTAGCATGAATACAGTTTTTCACAGTTTATCAAACTTTCTCTATAGGGAGTACTGTGAGCATTGCTTCTGAGTAGTACTCAAGAGTCTGTTCCCCAGTTTCCAACTCCCAAAACTTGCCATCTCACCTTAAACGTGCCGAATAACAGAATATTACTACTGGTTTAAAATTAAAGTGTCTCAGCAACTTATTAACAGTTGAGAAGACTCTGCTCTGGTTTTTTTTTGTTTTAGTCCAGGCATGAAATAAATGCCTAGAAATCAGGCTTGCATGAGATGGCAGCATCTCATGTTGAGCGTTCACGGACGTAGCTCACTACTCTGATGACGATTTTCAAAGAGCCACGTGAGAGCTATTTGGGGAGCTCCAGCTCTCACTTTTCCTCTTCAATTGAGTAGTTTATTCAAATTTTGGAATGAATAATGTGACACCATCTGTAAATGTTCAGTGCTATACAAAGAAACAGACACAGTCACTCCCCATTGACAATAATGGATGTTGTGCGTTTCATTGATTACATACGGTGCCCAAAATATGTCCCCTTAGTAGCTGAAAAAATCTGTCAAGTTCTTGAGGGTTTTATGAGAATAGGACTGATTCAATATTAGTCCTGAACTTGGGCACATCCTGCTTGAGCTATTTAAGAACATTTCATCATACCGAAGTCCCAATATGCTTCCAAGTCTCTTGTTTTGCTATACAAATTAACCATCATAAATCACATTATAACAGATTTTTTTTAGTACCTGAGAAATAAGGAAAGCATAAGCAAAAGACATTATGCAAACATTATCCTTTTCTAATATCCTGCAAAGTTTACAGCTACAGTATTTTAACTCTTTGAAGTGACAGATAGAGGCAACAAACACCAGGTTCTTACCTCCTGGTTGACGATAGCGGAGATGACGTGGTGTCGAAGGGGATCTACATGGGGAAACCTCTGTGCTATCCATTGCTGAGCTGCTTTCAGGAATTGTCCGGTCCACTGACACAGACTCTAGAACTGCTGCTTTAAAAGAGAATAAATGTTAATACTGGGATGATAATTCATAATTTACTAGTCTTTAATGTATATTCTATTCTATTCTATTCTATTCCATTCTATTCTGTTCTGTTCTGTTCTGTTCTACTCTGTTCTACTCTATTCTATTTTATATTACAAAACTAAATATATAATAAGTCATATTAATTCTTGTATCAAATGTTATGTTACAATGTATTATATTGTATTGTATTAATGTATTTATAAAGTATAAGTACAAAGTTCTTTGAAAATATCAAGAGTCTATAGGGAACTATGCTATGGGGCTTTAAGAGATGCTTTTTTAAAGCACAGGGTATAGTTAGATTAGTTTGTCTTAGGTAATGGAGTGCCTCTGCAGAGATACAGAGTATGTGGGTGATTCAGGACTCTCAGTTTACAAACACCAAAAGACAGAAAGTCTGCAAATTATCAACTTTGAACAATGTGAATTGTACCGCCGTGATAAAAAAGAACATGTACATCAAAGAGGGCTTCACTGTAAGATAATGTTTAAAAAATGGCCATTAATAGCACTTAATACCAGTGTTTCAATACCAACCTAATACCACTAAATACCATCTGACACAAAAAAAAGTTTATGTTTAAGCTACGGTTTATAGTTGTTTTAAACAGTACTGCTTCTGGAACTTGCCAGGAAACTTTGGCATTAAGAAGACTCAGCAATAATTATCCTCTGGATAGAGTTAAAGGACTGGGAAAGTTTTGCCCCAACAACATAACCACACAAAAGCTCATAAATAAAGAACTTGGTGAAGACCAGCAAGTTGTCAGTTTTAAAAATAGTTTGGATAAGACTGCACTTTAAGTCTGCAGAACATCCAGTGAAACGCATATTTAATAAGGATACTTGAACTCATAGGTTTTATATGAGCTAGGGAAAATAATCCTTCTTGGATAACTATGTGTAGTCAAAAACTGACCAATAAAATGGCCAAACAGCACTGGAGAGCAGACTGTGGAGAAGTTCTTCTATCAGAAGAATAAAAAAGGAATGGCAGAAATGCTACTTCAGAAATAAGGGAAAACAAGCTGATAAAATATATCCTACATTTGCAGCATAAGTATTGTATATATAAAAATATATATAAACAAAAACATTGGAAAACAAGAACTTTGAAAGCAAACAACAACTTTGGAAGCAGGAGAAGAAGGTGGAAAATCCAAGATGTAAATGGACAACATTCAAGGAGAACAACCACCACCATATATTATTATATGTCCTGGGGAATAGAATTGGTACACTTATATTGGGTTTAGAGTAAGCCATAGTTGTTTTCTTGGAAATCTGTCAGTACCAGCGCAACCACATTCACTGTAATGGGGTGGTGGCTCCTGATTAAGTCAAATTGGTCTCCTTTACTCAGAAAACTTCAGAAACAAACGCATTACACATGACAGGAAACGTGCAGATGAGCATTTTGTAGTTCTCCTACTACTCATTTCTAGTGTCCTTGTGAAATTTCTTTTTAAACTTACTCCTCTTCTTCAACATGCTATATGCAGCTGGGTGACAAAAGGACTTTCCCCAGCAGAGCAGAGCTATCTAGCTGCAAATCCCTCCAAGCTGAGTGCACACTGTTCAGCAGAAAATCCCCAGAGGGACTGGAGACACTGCACAGACAGCAATTTAGCATTTATATGAGGTTCTTGCCATTTCCCAATGTTCCTTACACTGCCCAGATGAAAATGCCAGCTTTAACAGACTGGAAAGAAAAATCTGAATACCTCCCCAACAATGCCTAGCGCTAACACTAGGTCAGAATAACCTATTCTTTACTAGTTTACAGTGTATAGCAAAAAACGTTACCCTTAAGACTGCAGTTACTTGTGGACAATTCATTTTAATGCATGGCCTATATTTTGGGACATGCTGTGGTATATGAATGTGGTTACACTAGTGCAAAAGAAGAATTTGCCCAATGATACATAATAAATACTGTATTTTATATACATATATATAGCCTGTTATGTTATTCATGTAAAAACAGCCAGCATACAGAAATAGAATGATTAAGTATAACAGCCAACCAGCATTTTATGAAAGTTTAAAGCATGGGTAACCATAGACTCCTATAATGCTAAGGTGGCTAACTGGTCTGTTAGAAAGATTTTTTGTTAAACAATAGACTACACTCCGTAAAAACAATCCCTCTGCATAATACATTGAATTTCTTACCAGTGTATTTATTTCAACTCATCAGTAAGGAGTAGACAAAATGCTTCAATCATGTTTTTCTTAATTTATGTTTGGTAATTTTTTTCTTCTTTCCTTTTGGGTTATACCAATTTTCATCATTATAGCACTTGCAAGTAAAGTTGAGCTACATTTTGCTCAGATTTACAGTTCAAATTCCTCAGACAGTAAGTCAGGACACGTAAGACCATTTCTAAACATGAATTTTAGGAATAAAATAGCTTTATTAAATTTCCTTACCTTCTGTTTAACATAACAATACAAAAAATTACTATATATTTCTATTCTAATTCAGAAGATCATCCCTCCATCCCCAAAGAGCAATGAGAAATAAGTGCAGCATTGTCATCCTATGAGGTTAGAGCTACTTTATTGCTTTGCCACCTATAAATACAATGATAGTATTCTAAATGCCCACAGTGAGGTTTTCATCAAATAACTTTAACCCTCTCAAAGTAATACCTATTCCAAGGTGCCTTACACAATTCATAGAGGAAAACGGGCATTTGCAGGGGAGCAATTAATCTATATCTAGGCATCTAGCTTCTGGATGGCTAATAGTCAGGTGGTATGAATCTCATCAATGTACCAAGTGCATCACATAAATTAAAGTGACGAAATATTTCTGGAAACCTCTGTTATGTAAACATGTTAAAGTTGTTAGGTCTTTACATTCCTGTTTCTTTTTATCTTGGTGTTTTACTTCCTGTAGTAATCAGCAGCAATATGATAAAAGTCAAGCCTACCTTAGAGATCACCCTATTTATCAAAAGTAACATTCAGTATTCTGTGGGTATGTAATACCTCTTCGAATGCTTCTCCTCAGCTTGTTACAGAGGTCAACACGAGGGTTCTCCAAACTGTCTTCTATGGAGCCAGGGCTTTGCTCAGGAGAGATGGGCCCTTTGCTGAGGTCCAGTGGTACTTTGCTACCTGTTGGTGGCGGGGAAGTGGCTGGGCTGTAGGTCGAGGTAGGACTGCTCACCACAGATGAAGTAGAGAGGTCAAGGGCACCAATCCTTGAATTCAGTGGTGAAGTCAACGACAGTTTTCGGGTTCTGACAGGTGAGGATGTTCTGGAGAGTGACAATGGAGGAGGAGAAGAAAACTTGCGACAGAGATGCGGTGACTTCCCATCAGCCAGGTACTCTCCTCTGCTGTTTTGACTGGTAGCAAAGAATAACTCCAAAGACCTGAAAATGATAAACAAAAAAAGCAACAGATGATAAATGCCTAACAGAATTAAATGAAAACACTTACAAATTTTGTGCAAATCTGCATGGCACTGCAAAATCTGTATGACACTTAGTCCTCAGAGCCTGGGCAGAAAGTTGAGATAGACTTACCTAAAAACATACGTCCTATTTACAAAGGAAGAACTTTATTCTGAGATTATTTATATAACAGAAAACCACAATAAAGGGAACTAATAATGATGGTGCCATGGTAATTCCTTAAGAATTATGGAATACTCACCTGACAGGGATGGAAGTGAATGGCCGTCTGTATATGTCTGAAAGTTTTTCCAGCACAACAGCTGCAGTAGTAAATATGCGGTAAGTATGTAGGAAAGTATTCAGAAAATCAATACTTAGAAATCGCAGGTCTGTTAGACGCTCCAAAAGACGCTCGACACTTGCATAACGGATTTGGGGTACTTTGCAGGAATTTAATGTTTTGCTGAAGCAGATATCAATGTCATCTCTGTGAAGGCGAGCATCAGATCTACAAAAAAATTAAATTTAAAACATTTTACCAAAGAGGAAGAGTGATTATGGTACAGTAGTGGTATCACTTTAGCTGCTCCAGTCAACATGGAAGCAGCAAATATATATGCATTCTAGTATTTCACCAACACAGGAAAACTCTTGATCTGTGGTGATACCTGCTTCCATTCAGTTATATTTTATGCTCTAACTAATGGAATTTAAATTTTCTTTTTGGTGAATAATTAATTTAGTTTTCAAAGCCTAAGAAACCATTAATGATGTTTAAATTTCTGAAATGGAACAGAATTGTCCCCTCTTGTCTTTCAGCCTGTTGTGGCCTGTAGTCCGATATTGCTAGAAGCTCACTATAGATTAATAGTAGACTGATTGCAATTTTTTCCCCTGGGATCTGGCTTTATCTAAAATAAACTAATGGACTCTAGCAAAAGACAGCAAAATTAACGCCTTAGCTAAGGTTAAGGCTCACCTGCAAGGTTACACCTGCCCTCAAGATTCAAGAATTACTTTTTTTTTTAAAAAAGGAAAAGGGAACAGCATGAAACATCTTGTATTTCAAAGAAGAAACCATGAAGAGGCTTTGTTTCAGTGAAAAAAACTTGGATTATTTTTTGTTTGGACATCAAAACAAAAACCATTTACATAACCTTACTCATGTTTTTTCCAAATTCAGCTTTGCTTCATTTCATCTAGTTGAAGACAATAAAATGCATCCTTTCCAGGGATCAAAGGTATATGCCCTAACAGTGTATTCTGAGATGTTACCTCTATTTCATTTCTAAACATATACCAAGAGAGGAGAGGCAGTAACTACAAAAGAGGCATCTGAGAAACCTTCATGTGTGGAGTACACGCTAGAGAGAGATACGGCCTAGTGACAGGTAACAGTAAGAAAGGACATACTTATATTCTTACCCTTATGTTCTATTCCTTATTATTTATATTGAATAATAGTGGGTAAAACTCATGTAAATACTGATCTGTAGATGATCCCAGAGGTTAAATAGTATTAGAAATTTGGAATCATGTACTGAAAACTTCTGTCTACAAATAACAACTACTTATTACAATAAATGACTGAAAGAATTCAACAGTGAAGGAAGAAGGTTTATGAATAACAATGTTACCTTGATGTGATAAGTTAAAATTATGACAGAAAGTAATTTTTTCTCAGAAATAAGAGCAAGAAAGAGAAGGAAAATTTTTTCTAATACAACAAAATACCTTGGAAAATGGTACTTGTCTGCAGTCACAAAATTTTGAAGACATTTTAAAATATATTCAATAAAATTATGACTGGCATGACAGAGTAAAGCTAACAGAGAATAAAATTATTCATCTGAAGCATAATTGAAAGCAATTTCACAAATAATAGAAAATCTGAGCTGTGATCCTATGCAGTCCAATACTGTGAATTGAAAGTTCATTTGAGTCATCCCTACCACTTCAATAAAGAGATTTTAAAAGATATGTTTTGGGAAGTAGAATTAATTCCATTCAACAAAACTGTTCAAAAAAAAAAAAAAGGTGGTATTTTCCAAATACACATTTTATTTTGTTAAAACTTTTATTAAAAAAAAACCCCAACAAACTATTTTGTTCACTGGGAAAAAAAATGCTGCACTTACTTGATCATATGTGGCACTGTGACTTTAGAGTTTTCTTCAAACACTATGGTCATTAAACCATTGCACCTTATATTATCAATGCACTGTGAAAATAAACATTGAAAACTGTTAAAATCAAAACACAGGGTAAGGGGACTTACTTCCACACTTTTCTTATCACTGTAAGCTTAAAGCATAGCTTTTACAGGGTATGGACTGATTGGTACAATGTATATTCATAAATGAAAAGCAGTGAAGCAAGAATTATAGTGGACATGCTTTTCTAGTCTTCTGCTTTTGATTTGTACATCTCCAAGTCCAAGCATCTTTACCAGAACAATCGGGGTATTCAGCTCAGCATCCTTTTTTCCACATGACTGAATATTTTGAGTTGGAAATGGAATTTCCTTTGAAGTTCCTTTGAAACTGTATAAAATAAAATATTTCTAGCATTTAGTGAATGAGTGTTAAACTTGAAAAATCAATATTGCAAGAAAGTTAGAATACACAAATGGATACACTAATGCCTTAACCTTTACACTGTGCAAAAAGACCAAAGAGAAATATAAACAGTTTCTAGAAACACACTTGGAAAAGCAAATTCAAGTGGTGCTGTTGTTGCAAAACATAGCTATGAAGATGATATCCAAGGAGTTCCTTGAAAACTCTTGTATAAATGTTTTGGGCTAGATATTAGAAGCTGGAAAGACGCTTCTGGGGCACGGTCACAGCACTTCTATTGCTTTAGAAATTAGAGGCTGTCCCGTGGCCAGTAAAAGTCTATAAACTAGGGGTGCGTAAGCTGTTCTTCAAGCCTCAAAGCAGCTCAGTGCTGGCAGTGCATAGGGGTAGCTTGAAGCCAGTTGTACACCATTATCTTCTGCTTTGTACTTTCGTGTAGTTAAGATACAGGACCACAAGCCTTGCTCATGGAAGTCAGCAGAATCTGCCAGTGGATCAGACTTATATGGTCTGCAACAAGTACCTGTTACCTAACACTACAGAACTCTTGTCTTTGTAATAATTTCCAGTTTTTTTCATGAGGTATGAGAGACAGAGATATATATATAAACATTATTTCTTTATGTCAATAAAAAGGAGTTTCCAGAATTATCATACACATTTACCTTGACTTCAAGAATAAAAATAGTCTGCTGGCTTTGGAACATCTCATAGGAAAATAATGACTGATGTTAGATTGGTCAAACAAGGCCCCTTCAGGTTTAAAATATATCTATGTAGCAATACGTTTAAAATATCATCTATGTAGCTATATGTGTTTTTAAATTCAGGTATTTAAGATTATTTTGAAACTGCAGGTGTTACAATTCACATTATGATTTTATCAAACCATTACCTAAGAGCACTGAGAAAAACACATCTAATAAAAATACATAATTTCCCCCATATGAATTTCAAATGTTGCCAAGAAGCCCTTAGCACCAATCATAAAACAGCCTGAGGTAATTCATCACTGCTATCCTTAGTCTGCATAAGCCTAGCATGTATCACCTCCCCAATAGGTATTATCATTCTAGCTAAGGAATGAGTGTAATGGGGATCTAGGGCCGAAGGAGAACAAGCTCAAACCAGAAGAGAGGAGGCTTCTTCAGCATCAACAAAAAACATGCATTTTTCATAAGAAGTATACGGTTTGTGTGAAAGTAATATAAATTCATTCTCACTAGGAATGTACAGACAAATATTACTTAGAGGTCATATGCATATATAAATTAATAAGATGCAGAATTCTGGACACTAACACTAATGCTATGAATCAACAGCAACTACATGTTTGGTTGGTTTTTTTACTTGCAAACATAGGAGAACACATATTTACTAAAAAACTCCTTTTTAAATGATCCGTTTTTTAGCAGAGTTCCTATGGTCTCCTTGAGGGTTGTAGCCAGGGTTAAGAAGAACAAAACGTTTCTGAGCAGGTGATTCAGTAATTTTTTATGACAAGGTTCCTGCTGGCAATGGGCTTAGTCAGAAATACAATTTAGTTTTCAAGACATGAGTGGTGTCAAAATGGTTTAGAAGTTCTCGTGCATTATCCAAATTTTCACCCCAAATTTTCTTTGTCCAGCAGAAGACAGATAGCTAGCTTCTGGTGTTACTTTCTTGCTTTCTTGACCATAAGCACTGTCAACTGATGCAACTGTTATTTGTAAACAGCGATACCAATTTGCACCCCAAATATCTGTGCAGTCTGCACAGCATCTTGCGCCCCTTCTTGCTCCTTTTTTCTTTTCTTGTTGCTTATCCCCTCAGCATCTCTGGCCTCCCTTCCTTTGTAAGGCTGGAGAAGCTTTTTCAGCCTCACAATGCTAACAGATCTCTGTTCTCTCAGATTTTCACTTGTAAGCTGCTGTCAGTTGTTGGCCCTCTATCTCTTCCAAATACCCCTGTCTTCCCTTCCTCAAGGAGGGATCAATGGAGAAACCCTTCTTACTGTTCTTTCCTTGCAGCCTGGCCCAGCCTTTGCTCTCTCAGCTGTAGGCAGCTAGTCACGTTTACCTCTGCCTTGCTAAGACACTTCCAAGCTTTGTAGGCATGCAGCTCTCAAGTCAGTTGTGGAGCTCTTCAGCTCCTTCCAGAACACCACAGTAGTGTGGTTTGGAGGTGGAATGGTTTGGAGAAGACCTGACCTGAGGCAGATCCAAACTCTGGTCTGTAGTCTACAGGGACCACAGATCACTTTCTCACTTAAATTCGCTATTATTCAGGCTAAGAATGGACTTATTCCTGGGTGTCTCATGTTCCAGGCCAGTTCTCAAATGGGCTTTCCTCCCCAGCAAAGAACCGCAATATGTTTACGTGTCAATGGCACAACATAATTCACTGAAAATCTGTTTTGTAAAAAATTCTCCAGCCAGGTCTGTCTGTAATGTATGTATGTACTCAGCTGCACTGAGACCAACGTTCTCAGCTCATACCGTATTTTCAGATTTTTACCTCCATATTTTTGTTCCTTTAAAAAAATTAGTCCAGAAGAAAGTAACTCAGAAATTTCTATGCATTTTCATGATAATTCATCTGCAGATGTTGCCAGCAATGGTAGCATCTTTAGAAATCCATTAAATTCCACACTGATATTTGTCTAATCAACTATTTCTCTTGAAATTAACAGTGGCGAGGACTCAAATTCAGAACTATGAGAAAACTACATACTTGGTTGCATACATAAACAAAATTGCAATAGCCTAAATTCAGATCTGGTTAGTTGAAAGTTCAGATTTTTCATAGTGCATTCCACTTCTTTCCCCAAATAGATTCTGATAGAAGTTTGTCTACTATGTTCTTAGCCAAAAGCACTAAAAAACAAATTACTCCTGACAAAGTATTTGAAAACACCATTTTTCTTCATTCACAATAAAGACAGTTCCTGCACACTGTCAGAATGCTCAGTAATTATTTGTAATGGTTTTTTAGTATTCTTTTTGGTGGAAAAGAGAGTTTATCTCATTTTCTCACTGCATGAGATACGATATTGATGTGATATGGTATTATTTTCACTCTCAGGATTCTCAGGTGCTTTTTGATCTGTATGAAAGTTATGAACAAACAAGTACTACCTTCTTAAGTTAAAATACATAGCTGGATGGGCTCTCCTTAGACATAAAAATGACTACCATTAGTATTATGTCTGTCAGCTGGCAATTTGTATTTTATATCCCATCTCTCATCGAGAAACATATTTCACTGATGACTTAAATGCAAAGACAGAAGTTTGAGGCAAAAAGGTAACACTGAGTATTTTTCATATACATCACAGCAAATCAGCCCTCAAGATTCCTCTCTTGGTTTATTTTTTAGTAATACAGAATAAACTAAGATCTCAATACAAACAGGACAAAGAATGCTTTAAGCTACCTGACTTATATCACTTGTCCATGCAGCTTTCTCCTGTCGTGATGGGGCTAAAAGGACAACAGTAAATGGAGGAGCATCTGTAGGTTCAACTACAAGCTTGAAATCAAGATGTCCAAACACTTGTCCAGAACCTTTTGCTTTACAGCCAGAGGAGGGGAGGAAAAGTAAAAATGTAAGATTTCAGACTATAAAACAAAGAAAATAATTTAATATAAAATTTAATATAAAATGGAAGTTAGTTGACAACATCTCTCTGACAAAGAGCAAATCCCACTGGGGATCCAAACTTGACTTTGTTTTTCACATACACCAAATACAAAAAAAGTTAGAAACATGCAATAACAGGAGTCACTATAAATTACTCTTAAGGATAACACGTAAGGCTAAAGTCCTTCTAATACTTCTATACTGATATTGATACATGATGTATCAATCTGATATATGATATCAGATCAGCATACTAGAAGTATCACTGAAATTAATGAAACTACTTTCACAATTGAAGTGCAAAACTTGTCTCACAGTGCAGGATGGAAGTCAAAATGACTAACAACAAAATCAGCTTGGGAATGTGTTTTGTTATTTCATTTGTCCAAGATAAAAACCTTCCATTAATTCTGCCAACTCAGCCAAGCCCCATGTATTTAAGAAACACAATTATCTGCTGCTTCTTTTAAGGCATATTTTTTTAGTTCCGAGATCCTCGGGGGGACTTGTATACAAAAGTCAGCAAATAACTTGTCACATTTCTTCAGCCAGTCTACTTGAATATCCTATGTGGGATGTCAGCAGCAAGAACAAACATAACAAAACAAAATCATCATCCAAGCCAGCATGCCCATTGCTAAAACATCTATTCTGCTGAATCAGTTTAATGCTGTATTCCTCTGGTTTCATGAAAGGGGAGAACATATCAATTTGCTGTTATGAAAAATAAACAAAGGATACCAATTTTAAGAAACTAGAAACTGTAATTACTACAAACAGCTGAATGTAACTTACAATCATCATCACTTGCATCTGTCTCCTCGATCAGTGTGCACTCTATTAAAGACAGAACACCTCCTGTCTGTGAAAACAAAGCACATTTTTCACAAATTTTGACATTTGTTCCCATTTGTCATTATAGTTATTTTAAAACTTTGATATACCTTACTCTAAAATTTTACTTTACTCAGAGCTCTTAGGAAGACACATTCATTCCATGATGCACATTTTTCCTCAAGAACTAAACCCAGGCAGATTAAATATAATGTTTTTCTTAATCCAACAAATCAATAATATACTCAAACGTACAAAATTTCTTTAATTTTTACCATACTATAATTTATCTCACTTACATACTTGTTCACAAGTTTCAAAAAATGTAACTAGAATTTCATGTTCTCCTGCATTTAAATCAAATACATGCAAGATATTTTTTTAAGGTTCTGTTATACTCTATTTACTTTGCAAAATACTTGAACTATTTAAGAGGTGCAAAGTGAGACAGCATATGAACAGTCTTAATAATCTCCCAGAAATGTCTTTGTCAAAATTCTATTCAACATAATCCACTCTGTAAACTATCAAGATCTCTTTATTCACAAGCCAACAATACAAAAGCCTGGTACTCAACAAATAGAACTAGTGTGCTCTTGGAAGAGCTTTCAGTTTAAGAGAATGTGCTATTCAGGAAAACAGAATTGACTTTTAAAACTAATTTTATTAGAGCTCTGGAAAATACTCTTTGGTAATTCTACGGGGTCCGATTTATACACTAAGAACTGACTTACATTCAGTGCTAGCTTACACAAACAGACAGACCAATGTCTTGTTTCTAACACCCAGCTTATTAAAATTACATGGTTCTATTAAAAAAATTGTACTTAGTAAGAACTTTGGCTGAATTCTGTTATTTGCAGTGAGAACACAAAATAGTTAACTACTGTGCATCACCTGACTTCTGTTTGTACCAACACATGCAAATATCAGGTTAAAGTAATAAAATAATAAAATATTGAAATTTCACTGAAGCTGTGTTTTCATTTTGTAAATTGAGTTATATTTTAAAGTCTATACCTTGAGAAGATGCAGTTTTCCTCCTGAACTTCTTGTGCAAATTAAAAAATGTTTTGTAAATAAGAAGCACTGCCTTTCTCCTTCTTTCTTCAAAGATAATGATCCCAGACGAACTTTACTAAGTTTTCCCCTCTCAACTGAAGGGACCTGAATAAGGGAACCTGATAATAAACATGCAAAATTTATTGTACTATAGTAATATTTAGTAGGCAGCCTTTGAAGTGTTAATGCATTGAATAGTATGATTTAATTAATGAGATTTTTCATTCTAGTAAGTATCAACATATATCAGCATCTGTTTTAAACACAAGTCGATGATCTTTTTTTGCATAAATTCACTTTGTTTTTTAGGATAAATAGACTCAAGCAAGTACAGTCTAGACTAGTACTTACGTACATGGTAGGATCAGATCTTGGGCAAATTCTTATGCAATTTAAACACACTAACAGCATATTGATCAGAAAATGAAGCTGAACAGCAAGCTGCAGTTTTGGCAGCTGCTAGACTTGCAAAAGATTCATTACTTACAAGCCAAAGAGACAGGATGAAAAAAACAGGTTTTGAAGGAAAAAAGTTTGTGTATGTGTGTGCCTGTGTGCAAGAGAGATGGAAATGAAGCACATATCTTATGCTGCATAATTTTCAGTGCTCCACAGCTCATGTAAAAGGTGTTACCAGTAAAACACTTCTGAACTAAACTGAACCTGGTTACGTAAGTCTGAGTTTGTGCTCTGCAGAACTCCAGACTGGGGACAGCTTTGATCCTCTGCTATTTCACACCTCAAAACCAGTTTCTGACCAACTTTTCCAGATTGACATCACCACGTGTATCACTTCCAAATTTGGATCCGGAGATAAATTTGGTGGTGATTATTTCAAAAGGGAAGATTTTATGATACAACTTGCTGTTACCAGACAGGGCAGCCTGGAGACCTCCTAATCGCATTCCCACACATCTATCCTTACTATCACCCTCACACTGGCCCTCATCTTATTCCAACATTAGCTAGCTAATAGAGCTAAACCAGCAGGAAACTAATGCTGCAAAGTATCTGACTGACTTAGCTCCCTGATAAGGCTCGCGGCAAGGTCATCACCAGTGATGATGCAAAGTAAGTAGCAGCAGAACAAGGGGATGGATATCAGCCTGCTTCTCTCAGAGGCAACGAGATATTGGACTAGCATAGCTGTATCAAAGCTCAAACTAGTGGCAGTGTCTTGACACAATGCAAGCCTGAAAGAATTGTCCATTAAATACCAGATTAATAATTCTTACTCCACACTGTCAAAAAAAATCTCTTGTTCAAAGTTCATATACACAATCTTAAACTAACAAACGGAGAAATTAAGGTAACTGGGAAAGCCACTGTTTATATACACAACGTTTTTCTACACTAAGCTCCCTCTATACATTTAACTAGCCGTAAGTTATTAATGTGTTTGAAACTTACACCATCTGGCATAGAAAAATATACACCACTAAATTTAGAACAGTATAGCGTTCTTTGACAGCCAATTCACATTTAAACAATGTGATTTGTGTCACTGCCACAAAACTATGGGGTAAACTTGTACTCTAGAAGTTTGCAAAGGTCTGGAACACTTTTAGGCTCACTTAAATTCTGACCAAAACCATAAACACTTATTGGTTGTCGTACATTCCTCTGGACAAAACAGCCTACCTGCCTCAATTGCAAAAGACATCAAGGAGATCATTCTGGTGTGTTGGAATGATGACTTTTCTGTGTTACACTGATTGCCCCTCTGCTTCCATCACAAGGCCAAGGACTGTGTACAAAACAATTCCCAAGCAACTTCCCATCACAAAATTCTGTGTCATTTTTCTCCTGAAATTTCCTCTACACATTTAGGATAATGATTGTCAACCTGTATGTTTTATTTCTGCCTTGCTTCTTGGAACAATACTAGTTATCAATACGATACGCTTACAGATGTAGTTTTACAGATAGCTTTTAATTTTTTCTTTTTATTATTGTATTAGAATGCTTTCAGGAATACCATATTCTGTTCTGCTAAAATAAGCTGTAGGTTAGCTAAAATAAGCTGTAGGTTAAATACTGTTCTTGTATGGAGCAGAAATGTTACTGCTTAATAAAGTAAATCAAAAGAAACGAGATTTTTTAAATGAAGAAAAGGTAGATTGCATTCTCTCTCTCTGATACTCAATAAGAGAAACACATCTCCTATACACGCTGCATGGCTGACACAAAGTAAGGAACTCATGCATTCCAACCAAGCTTTTGTGATTAACAAAACTGGGCATTTGCCTACCATGCATTCTACTACAGATTGCCTCTTAAGGAAAAAAAAGGTCACGACTGGCGAATGTACAGTTGCAATAAGCACGTAAGGCTAATTTTAGGACATTCATTAATAGCATAGGTTGGATGGTCCTTGTAATTTCAGGAATTTTTATCTAGCTACAGACCTAAGCACTTTCAGTATTTCAATACTGCCAGAATAGTCACTCCATTAGCGTTTGCTCAATCCAAGAAATACAAAAGGTGGTTGCTGGGTTTTTCAAAAATATTTTTTAGCTTACATATAACTGTCTGATTTACAAATTCTGTCTGGCTTTATTCATGCTGGAGGGCTTTTAATTTTACTGTAAGCAAGGTCAGACACCGTAAAAGGTTTCTCAGTCAGAGAAGCTGCTAGAGTCTCCATCCTTGGAAACAACAACTGGATATGGTACAGAGCAACCTGCTCAAGCTTATGCTACTTTGAGCAAGTGAGATAGGACTGGATAATTTCCAGAAGTCCCTTCCAACCTCAGCTATTCCATAATTTTACAATTGTGATATATTTATCAGTAGAGGTAAATTCACAGCAGCTGATGGCAGGAACATCAGACAGAGTGTTTGGAGGCATCTAAAGTGCCTCCAGATGCCCAACTGGGTGTGAGCCAATGCTGGATTGCAGACTGAGACTTCCTCTGTTTCCCTTAGAATCCTAAAGAAAATGTTCCCTAATTGTTTGCCATGACTTACACTGTGCCTGACAATAAAGTCTGTATCAAAGTAAGAGACAGAGAAAAGGAGATCCCAAGAAACCTGAAGGGGAATCCACAATCTCTGGCAAAGCACTGACAGAGGTAGCTCCTATGGTCTCAACTTGTGTAGCTCAAGGGAATCAGTCTCCTCTTAGAATAGTAAAGGATATAATATACGGTAAATTTGTAATTAACCTTCACAGAAAAAGCCTGAACAAAGGTAAAGACCCCTTTCTCCTTTTTTAAGCTGAAAAGAGGTTTCCTGTAACCATTTACACTGATCAACACAAAGAACAGGAGCCTAATTGAAATTAGAGGACATGGACATCACTGTCAAAGTGACCCTACTGTCAGATATGAAAGGAAAATGGGCTCTGTATTGCTTCATCAGCTCTATTCAGATTTCTGCACTTACACAAAATCACATGTGGTGGATGTTCCAAAAGATAAACTGTGATCCAGCCTTCTGTAACATACATTCTTGTCCGCTGTCCTTTGACTGTATGCCCAGAAATAAATCGGAATTTAATTTACAAACTATGGGTTTGACCTATGTCTAACACTCAAACAGTAATCTTTTTCAGACTGATTCCCACAGAAAATATGATAGGTTTTTACTAATGAAACACTGGGTACACAGACAAGTAATACCAGCCAATTTTAAGGGAAAAAACCCTACCAAGTACACAAATACAAAATATTCTAATCATATTGAAAGAAAAATTCTAACATTTAATTAAATTGCATGGTACAAGTCAACCTAGAAGAATCACAGTCCTACAATTTTTTGGCTGTGGATGCAACACAACAGCTTTATATTTTTCTCAAAGCTGTCTTCATAACTCTTTAAATACCTCAGTTATAACAAATGCATGTATTTAACAAAGAATCAAGTAATAGTGACAATTGTACAAACAAACTTGGAAGGTCTCCTAGTTAGTTAGTTAGTTAGTTAGTTTGGTCACATGGTTATGGAAACACCACAGAATGGATTTCAACATATTTAAATATTAATTTAAATAAATATTTATTATTTAATAT